TGAGCTTCTTCAGGGCATCAACTGTGACTTCAGGGTCTCCACAGACTTTTTTTTCCAGCTCCTGCCAGGTGAGGAGGTCAAGAACAGCTTGGGGCACCACCTTCAGCAATCCAGCCTGCATGGCCATGATCTGAAAAGGAGACAGGGCAGGTAAGCAGCATGTCTGGCTCATTTGCCTGGCTCGTGGTTGAGCCTAGGGACTCAACTGGACGCAAGCCATGTGACTGCTCTGCAAATGCTCCAAGGAACCTGAAGAAGGGAACAGGATCCCACAGAGATGCATCCCAGTTCATTCAGAAAGCCCGTGTCAGAGCTGGGAATAAAATCCCGTGTCTCCCATGCTGCTACAAGCCACTTTGCTTCTCAACAACTCCACGAGCTCCAGGACCTCACCAAAAAGGACTGCCTACTATTGCACTAATTAGCACAGGGACACTAACCACGATACATTTTACCATAAACAGACTGGGGGGGGTATGTCTCTGGGAACTCAGTGACCACTGATGCTATGGGACAGCGTTACCTGCTCCTTGCTCTCCTCCAGTCGAGCCTTCTGCACCAGGCGGATGAACTCCTTGCGGTCCTCGTAGCGTACCACGGTGCTGCTGCCATTGGGGATCAGCTCCACCATGCGCTGATCACTCAGCACCGTCGTGTCGGACTCAAAGGTGTCTTTGTCCATGACTTCCATCACCTCCAGGAGCTTCACCTGCCCAGGCCCCAGACGAGTGCTTGTTAGAGACATATCCAGTGGGCAGAGGTGTGCCCAAGCCCCTATCTCCTCCCTTCCCAGATTAGGGCTGGAGGGACTACGACAGCAGCACAGCATGGGATATGCTGCCCTAGAGCTGTTTAGCAGACCCTGGGGCATTGCATGCTTGAAGCAGTAGTCAGCATGGCTACATCTCTATATTAGCTATAGGATGCATTAAATACTAAGAGTGCCCTTTTTGTGTGTGTCTCTTTGACACATCACGGGAGGAAGCAAGTACAACATGAGGACAGGGACATAAATCACCACCTTGCTGAGTGCCACAAAGAATAGGATAGGTACAGCCTCCCAGTCCCTCTCACCAGCACAGAGTCCACAGCAGGGAAGTCTTTGCTCCAGCTGACCTCCTCCCCTGTTAATTGTTTCCATACGAAGCCAGGAAGAGCCAGGACCTGAAGGAGAACAGAGATTTTGCTGAGTCTGTGTGAAAGGAGACATCCCCAAAGACACAGATAGTCAACAGTGCAGACACAAAGGAGCTTCCCTGCTCCCCCTGTCCACATGCAGAGCTCATCATAGCTGAGCAGAGACCAGACACACTCTCCCAAGCTCCCAGCAGCATCTCCCAAACCCAGGCTGTGAGCTCTCGGCCCCAAATACTGCCAAACACCTTTTGTCCCAGTGTGTTGATCACAGAGCCCTCCCATGCTCCTGTCAGACAGGCTGCAGAAGAGGGCTAACGACTCCCTTTGCGGCAAACCTTCATGCAGGGACGGGGTTGAAAGCTTACCAGAAATTCCTTGCCTCTCAGAGCTGCTCCCATGATCTGCCCGATCCACTCATACTTTGGGAAGTCTTTACAGGAGGGGTTGGGGACATACATGTCCCTGGCTTCTCCAGTGCTGTTACCCTACAGGAGTGAGAGGCAAAACTCCAAGTCATGATCTCAGCGCAGCGTGAAGTACCACAGACTCAGTTCCTGCAGCGCCTGTGGGCACTTCTCATAACAGAAGTGGGCTAAACCCCCCCATCCTTCTTGGCAATATTCCTAGTAAGAGACAAGTATCCAGGCACTTGTCAGCATATCCTAAAACGAGATGCCAATAAGCAATCTACCCAACCCTTCACGAGGAAAAGCTTTGGACCAGCGAAAGTAGGTACTTCCCTGGCATGCAGGGGGACAGGGACAGCACTGCATTACCAGGCACAGAAAGATCTGCCTCAAATACCCTGACCCACAGCACCTGGTTGGACGTGCGCACAAAGAAGGGCAGTGGCACGGGGGTGTCTGCCGAGCTGGGACATAGCTCCTCCGACATGTCTGCCAGGCTGTCCCGAAAACCGCCACCTGCAACCCCAAAAGAAGGGCATTTTTAGTGATGTGAACTCCCCATGTGCTGACCCTCAGAGTTATGGAGCAAAGATGAGGAATTCTGGTCCAACCTGGCCCCGGGCTGAGCAGAAGGCTCCTGTCAGAGCCTTACGGCACCAGAGGAACTAAGACAGGAGAAATAACATCCCTGCCTGGCCTGTGGAGGACAGCCAGAGGGAGCATTGGCACTGTCAAAGCTACTGTTAGCGACTAATGGAGGTCTGGTCCCCGTGCCAGCAAGCAGCGCTCCTTATCCGGGACATGGCCTGGGGTGGCAGGACAAGGCAACCTGCCTTCCCTCTCTCCTCCATGGGCAGTAACACTGGGAGCAAAAGAGAGCCCCTACAGCAACAGTCACCCCATCAAGCCCCAACTCTGCTCCAGAGGAGCCCTTGCCTCACACAGCCCCTACCTTGGTCAATGATGCCCTCTGCGATGAATTTGCATTCCCACCACTGGTCATAACGCAACGGCCACCTGTGGAGAACCAGGCATCGCCTGAGGTGCTGCTCAAAGCCAAGGAGATGCTGGAGACGCAGCAGGCAGAGCAGGGACACCAGGGGACTAGGGTGGACCAGCCTGGGCTTAGGACAGATCTCAATCTCCAGAGACAGCTGCATCCTCAGTAGGGAGGTGACACCTTGGGGAGCAGGCCCTGATCCCATGGCTGAGCTGGCTCCTGCCCTAGCAAACCCTCTCCAGAGCACAGGACACCCACAGGCTTCCCAAACACCCTGCTGTGACAGAGGACATAGCTCCCAGCACTGCATGATCCCCTCCCTCCCCCAGACACCGGTTACCTATAATCTAGAGGCTTTTCAAACTTGTCCGAGGGTTTCAGGCCTTCATACACCTGCAACAAGCAGAGAAGATCAAGGCTGGTATCCCCTCTCCAGGGGAACCAGTGCCAGGTGAGGGCAGGAAATTGGAAGAAATCTGTTTTGTCCCAAACCTTTACATACTGACTGAAGCTGATCTCTAAATGGTCTAGGAGCCTTTCATTTTTGGAAAGGGAACATAAATTATGGTGCTAACCACTGTATGGAGTGTTCTGGCCTCGGAGGCACATTGAACACATATTAGACCTCACAGCAGTCTGGGCTGTTTATGCACACATAAAACAATAGATCTTTTGGAAGTCGGGGGAGAATGACAATAGGAAGATCAGCATTGCTGTAAAACCATGACACAGGACTGTACGCATTATTGTTGTCACAAGAATTCTTTGCTGCCCTTTCAGTGTAACAAGATTGTTATGCTCTGCATTAGCAACATGCCACAGAGAGCATCCAAGATAGAGCAGAGGCTTCAACTCAGAGATCCCAAATCCCTCCTAGATGTTATTCCTGGATATGGGATCATCAGCACATGTAATTGTAGAGCCTATGAGTCATGTGAAGAGGCCTTGAGGACTCCAGGTATCTCCAGCTCCAAGTTGTCCTTTCCACCCACCTCTATGTGGTTCATTTTGGTTTTGGGACAGTACCTGGGTGAAGACAGCGTTCTTGCAGCTGGGGTCCAGGGCAGGGTTGTCTCGGTGCTCCATAGCCAGGCGTCGGTTAATATAGAGCCGCGGCATGAAATTGGGCTTGCTGGTCTCCGAGTCCTTCAGACACTGGGTAATGAGAGCTGTGCGCCTCTTGGACAGCAGCAAGAACTGCTTGATATGCTGCCAACAGGTATGTCCAAAAGGTCAGAAGTGCCCAGTGTCCAAAACATGTCACCTACTTCCTATTGAAGCCACTGCACCGCCAGGCCTCTCCCGTTCCCAGGGCCACTGCCTTCCACCCACAGACACATTCTCCTTGACAATATTTGCTCCACCTCTGCCTCTGAAAGATTTTGCTTTCCGGCTTAAGGCAGATACCAAGCCCAGTCCTCTCTCCATCAGCCGTCATCTGATGCTCACACTCCAGTGTTGCTTGGATCTCCTTCACCCTCTCTCTCACCAGAACATCGGTCTTACTATCCCTCCTATTTGTAATCCAAGCAAGCTCCTCTAAACAAACAAGAATCCTCAAATGCTTTGGGTCCTATGTTGAGCTGGCACAGGAATTACAGTGCTTTCTGACACCAGGCCTGGAAACACACAGAATGGGGCTACCCCAGCAATGTCCGGCACACGTATTCTGGGAGAGGATATAAGGAAAACAGACAACTGGAGGGATGAACTCAGTCTTATGAGAAAGATGGACATCAAAAGCTTATTAAAGCTAGAAAGAAGTTACTGGTAAAAACCTTGCTATTTGGACACAGCCAGCTCAAAGCTGCTGGCAGCAAGCGCAGAAACAGAGTGTCCTGGGCTGAGATCTCGGAGGGGATGTGTGTCTGGCTCACATGCCCAGGGCTGCTGTGGTCCAAGTCCTTTTGCGGGTGAAATGCTCTGGTTTGATTCTGCTTGAATCAAACAGAATCTACATATTTCAAACAGCAGCTACATATTTCCACATCAGCGTTTTAGCAGGAAACTAACCTCTAAACCATATCACCTTTCACAGCTTTAATGAACTGAGCTCAGCCAGGTATTTCCCTTGAGCTACTTTAAAGGCAACAAGCACTGACTGCCTCCCTTGCCACAGCCCAAGTGCAATCACCCTGCCAGACTGAGGCCCCACAAGACACAGAGGGAATCGCTCACCTTGAGTTTGCTGAATGTGCCAACAGTGTGGTCCCAGGCTGGCACCAAGTGATGCAGGACACTGTCCAGGAGCTTGATGAACCTAAATCCCAATGAAGAAGGTATTGCGACACAGGAGGGACAGGGATCTGCATAAGCCTATTCCAGACCAGACTACCCCCCGGACACAAGCAGAGAAGTAACAACTGATCCAAACCCAACCCAGCATGGTCTTTCACACCACAGAGCCTTTGCTACTAAATTCCCACTCCCTGGGCACTGCAGGGACCTTGCAACCCTTGCAAGGGACTCTGCATGCACCTGCCCCACACACCACACAGATATGCTGTGCTTGCAACACACAAGACACTGTGAACTTGAGCTGCAAAATTCCTCTCAAAGTGTAGGGGAGTTACACCAGAGAGCCCACTTTGTTCCCAAATGACTCTGCTATTTTCTCCAGGGTCCAGGATGCCTGTCCCAAGGGGAGTCACACAGCTTTACAGCTTCCAGCCATGCTTGTGCTGGAGATGGCACCAATCCCTGCAGGCAATACCACCCCACTTGTCTGCCCCTCTCCATACAGTACCTTTGAATGAGCACGGCTCGTCGGTAGAGCAGGTCAGGGTCTGTCCCTTCTAGGCGAGGGTAGCGCACTAAATTGGGCAGCTGGAACATGTCAGCACTGAGCCCCAAGTCCCTCTGTCGGGAAGATTTGATTTTGATGCCTCGGAGGCGAACATCAATCCCATCATCTGCCAAGGAAGACCATGGATGATACACTAAGACCATGAGAAAGCAAGCCTTCCAGCGTGGGAGGTCTATAAGTAAAAGCACTAGGAATGTGACCAGCTCCACCAGCTCTGGGGCAGGGTACCGAGAGCCTGAAATACCTCTATGGAGAAGCAGGGTATTTAGAGACAGAGAAAAAAAAAAAAAAAAAATTGAAGGCAGAGAAAGACAGAATGAAAGCTGAGAGCTTGCAAACCTCCAGGTCCCCGTGGAGTTTCCCATGGTTCTTCTGCATCTCGTCTGAAACAGCCCACAGGGCCAAGAAGTACAAGCCACAGGAACAAACTCTTAATGTACAGTATCTTACAGGTGCATTATGGATGTGGCCATAACACCCAGACCTACCTCTGCACTCCACAATCCGGATCTCGATGACAGGTAGGTGTGTTGTCATGTCCTCAAGGACGCACACATCCCCAATGTAGCTCCTGCAAACACAGCATAGACGAGGGCTGCAGAGCTGTTCCCTTGCCCATCCTGCCAAAATCCACTTGGCTGCTTGTAAGGGAAGAGGGTTTGCATCTTTTGAAAGGGGAGCCTGCGGCAGGTACCCAGACCCAGTTGCCTACAACATGGCGTGTGTTGAACACCTGAACCTGCTGGTGCCTCAGGTCCAGGTGATATGATCCTGATGGGTCCCACAATCGGATCAGGAGAGTCCTGACGATTGTGCCATCTGCTATTGTAGGCAGAGTGAACCTGCAGCTCAGAAATGGAAAATGCCTGTCCCAAAACCTTGGGCCTCTTAAGCCAGGCTGGTGCTGGCATGACTGCTTAGGGTCGGGGTGTCCAGCACCTCCAGCCCATGCAAGGGCCATGCCACCCTCTCCACCTCCATCCGCTCACTCATCAATGCCGACATCATTCAGTTTCTTCAGATTGTCTCCCTCGCCCCCGTACACGGCGACCCGCTTGGGCATGAAGTTCTCATCGGTGGTATCCACTGTCAACAGGAGCTTCCTGCAAAGGGAAGCATGAAATGAGGAGAAGGTAACTGGATCTGAACACCCATTGCTGCTCCCCCTCATTGCCTGGTCACGCTTGTTATCAAGCACACGCAGCTGGTTTGGGGATCCCCGGGTACCTGTGACAATGCTAAGACTCCTTCAAGCCCAGAGCCAGAGCAAGAGCTGAGGGGCAGGGAGTGCAGGGCAAATTTGGGCCATGATGGACTCATGCAGAGAGCGGGGACTGCAGGACTCGCCCCAGCCGCGAGCGAGCGCACAGGGGAGAGGTGCCTCACTTGACAATGGTGCCTTTCTTCATGTTGAGCCGCACCCAGTGCTGGCCCTGGGACCCATCACTCTCCCAGTATGTGTCGGCGTGGCTGTCGGTCAAGCATGACACATTGAAGTCCTCCTGGAAGAGGGCAGTGAAAGAAAGGAAGATCAGATGGGGTAGGATTAACTTCCCCTTAGTGGTTACTCTCGTCCTGAATCTTAGAGCCAGAGGGCGTCAAACTGGCCCGTTCCCTTTGCTGGGCTGCGGGAAGACACAGGGAGTACAGAGCGCACTCCAAGGTGCTCTGGGGTCACGCACAGAGCACAGAATATCAAACCCTCCCTAAAATCAGCTTAGTAGCTAATATTAGCATTTGCTTCTCAAACCACAGCCCCTCCAGGGGCCACATTACACAGTATGCTGCATAATGCTCCCCAGGCTTTTCTCCCACATCCTCAAATGCAGCCCCGCCCAGCCCAGAGCAGCACACCAAGCACCATCCATGCTCCCCAGCCCCATGGCACAGCGGGGCTGATGCAGCCTTGTCCCTTTAACCCACCGTGTAGGACGAGACATCAATGCTGTCCACGTACTGCTTGACGCTGCCCAAGTTCTCATCCTCCTTCCCAATGTGATCATACAGGAAATGCACCAAGTCTTCATCACATTCATAAGTCCATGTCGGGGGCACAAACCTACCACAGAAAAGGCATTAATGGGTCTGGAGAGCCAGATGCAGCCAGGCTAATGGGTCAGGGAAGGCAGGTCCATGTCCTGCTTGCCTTGGTCTTGCCCTGTCTTCTGCTTTGTGCAGACTTATCTAGGACAAGAGCTGTTCGCTGCTGCCTGTCTTCCCCACTCTCCCCCAGTCTGCAGGGGATGGCTCTCTGAGCAGCCAGGGAGAGACAGTGCCTTGCACCCAACCACAGCAGAAGTTGGGAAACAGCTCATACCGAAGCTTCTCTACTGCAGCTTCATCCTGCTCCATGGGCTTGGGCTTCGCTCCGAGACGCAGGGAGTACGTCAGATCCACCACCTGCTCCCATCTGAAAAAACCCAGAGAAGGGGGGAGTGAGAAAATCCTAGGGGAAAGAAGGAGCTGGCAGTCGAGGAGTAGGTGGAAGGGGAAGATTTGGGTTTAAAGCCCCACCGCACTCCATCCTCCATCACCTCCATCTGCCAGCCTTTCCTTTCCAATCATCTCTACTTCTTCCAGCCCACACCCTGCTAGGAAGTGACAAGCCCGGTGACCGAACCGAACCCACTTAACTCCACATCTGGCATCCCTATTGCCTCACTTCCACGGCAGAAGTGGCCAAGCGGGCCGGGGCTCCTCAGTCCAGGGCAGGAACGGCTGAGGGGCAGCACCCCGAAACCCCACGCAGCTGGGCCTGGGTGAACGGGGAGCGAAACCTCCCTGTTCTCTGCCGTGCAAGGGGGAGCCGGGGACGCCAGGGACGGCGAC